GTGGCTATACAGAGCATCGGTTAGGGTGTGATATCGTCAGGCGACTGGCGCTGAGCGAATAGACAGGCTCACATGTGAATTAAGGTCGGGGGCAAAGGCCTCACTGGATCGGTCACGGACGCCACCTGCGGATGAAGCCTGTGACTGAGACTGCTGTGACCCTCCACCTCCCCGCCGAATCATTAGAGGGCTAAAAGTGCTAAGTGGAACAAGTCGCTTCGGACGACAGGATGTTGTAGTATGTTAGTAGGCAAGACGTGATGAGATCTCGAACGGGACCAGCTCCAGTTTATTTCTCCAACGGCCACACAGTCCTCCCGCATTATCAAGCAGGCCGAAGGAATATGGTGTACGGAGGGACTAGTGCACATGGTGCAGTGGTCGGTAATCGGGCTACTAATGCACTCAAATACAGTTGACGGATGCAGCCAGCAGCTCCATCAAGGAAGGAGCAAGTGTGGGGAACGTCGCCTACAACGATCACGGTTCTGCCGGAGTGCGCTTTCTCTGCACTGCAGGGCTTATCTCTTATCTGATTGCCGGACCTGCTCATTACTGAGCCTACATCCTACGATGAGATATGAGATACGAGTAAATGCTGCTCGACAACTGATCAGTTCGAAGTTTGGTCAGCAAGTCTGCGCAGCGGCATGTGGATACTATCTACCTAGGCCCTGCTGTGCCTTCGGCGGACATCAATATGAATCAGCCAACACCCCACGCATGAGTGAGGTCATACGGTCGCAGAGCCAGACCTCCCCAGATATCCAGAAGCAAGAAGCGGACACACTCACGAGCGATAATGACAACGACGCTCGCGAAACAGGCAACTCTCTTACCTTTGTATAATTTAAATGCCACCGAAACATGCACCCATTATCGGAGAAGGGGAAGCTGTCAGCAAGAGCAGCCAAGTCGCCAACCGATGCCACACCTCGGTCCAATGGAGCCCAGACTGATGTGTTACAGTGGGATTGAGTTGGCACCTGGATGGCCTGAGCTTGTTCTGGCCATTCTCGGCTTCAATAATTGAACGCCGTCAGGAATCATCCAACCTTCATCGGGGCAGGGCTCGAGTGTCCTATCTTTGTCCATTTCCGTTGCAGGCTGATAGCGATAAGGCTCACCAGCACAGCCGATGGCTCTCAGATCCATGTCTCCGTGCCGACTCCGGACCCGATCCGTGGCCCGAATGATGCCCTCGGTCACATAGATATCCAGACGGCCCCCCCGTGGCAGAGAAATTAAGTTCACCAAGGACTGGGTCTCACGGGATTCGGGATGTTTGACATTGCCCATGCCCAGCTACTATTGGATTCAAAGGTTAAGTTAGTCTTCGGCCAGGCATCACAACCAGTCCACTCATTCCTCTGCGATCAGTCCAGGAATCCAGGACTATCCGTCTCCATCGAAGCCATCTCATGGAGACATGATGATAGACGAAGGAAATTCTCTATCGGTTCGCCTCTCAGTCGCCTTTCATTACTTACCCTACACCTCCAGTGCAAGTCTTCCTATCTAGGTAATCGATTCGAGAAGAATGCCAATCGTTCCACTTTGGGAAATCCATTCGAGGTCCACGCACCTACAACACAGCCATCAAACCTCCAAGCCTCGAGGGCGGCGTCCCCCTTCGCCAAGACGTAGAATATCCTCATCGATTGGCTCTTCAATCCATTTTTAGAAGTCCATTCGAGCAATTCCAGTATGAAAATATCCCATTGATGCCTGCTCAGGATGATCAACTCCACAGTCTTATGTAAATTGGTATTCTCATTCGAAGAAGCATCGCCTCATCAGCCTGGTCAAGGAATATTTAGGTTTTCCATTCCTCGAGTTTCATTGTCAATAGATTCTTCTTCGTTATGACATCTCCTGTTCTATAAATTCAAACCGTTAATTCCGAACATTTACTCCTATCATTTTGCTACACATTGAAGTTTACCTACTATTGCGATACTCTAGAACCATTTAGAGATGTTGATATCTTACATCATCTCGCTGTTCAAATCCGATTCTCGCTCGCCCAGTAAGTGTGAGCATCAAGTTCGGGAATCGTCAGAGCCATGCCCACAATGCCAGGCCGCAAGCCAATACCAAAAATATCGATGGAAGATCATCCTAGGCCTGGTGTTTCCGTTTGCTTTGCAAGCTCTAGACTCAACCATGTAAAGACACACTATTCAACCCATCCCCCAGAGTCAAACCTATCGAACTAAATTCTTCGGCCTTCTAGAATCGCCAGCGCTTTGCCATGGATCGCAAGTGATTTCGGAGAGGTCTCGCAGTTGAACTGGATCGTATCATGCTTCAATCTAACATCTGCGGCCTTCATCCCATTCTGGGCTCAAATGGCGGACATTCTAGGGCGGAACGTAACCCTCAACGCCTCAATCATCCTGATGCTCATCGGCAGCGCGCTATGCACTGGCGCACCGACCCATGCGTTCCCCGTCTTGCTGCTCGGCCGAGCATTCCAGGGGTTGGCAGCGGCCGGATTGAACGTGGTTGTTCACACGATTCTTGCAGATCGAGTCTCGTTGCAGGAAAATGCTAGAAACTGGACGCTCTTTTCATTCATCGGTGGCGTTTCATATGCTCTAGGACCTGTCATTGGAGGTAAATAGCCTCAACGCGAACTGCTACGGACCACTTCAGAATAGCTGACCTGTTTATTAGGATACCTCACAAACGCCAATTGGAGATGGTGCTTTGCCATCAACTTGCCAGTGGCGTTTGCTGCCATCATTATCACCTTCGTGGTGTTGCGAAAAGAACTCCTAGGCCCTCAACCTATCCCCGAGGTTGACGAAACCGTTGAGACTGGCCGACGGACTAAACTGGCCGCCCGTCTCAAAACCGTGGATGTTGGAGGCCAAGTCCTCTTCCTGGTCGGGTTTGGACTCATTATCCTCGCCTTGACCTGGGGCGGCGCTACATACCCCTGGTATTCAGCTGCCATCATTGTTTCCTTGGTATTCGGTTTCATTTTCATAGGAGCTTTCATATTTTGGGAGAGATTAATGGTACCGGGCAGTTTCCTTGCAGAAAAACTACCGCGGCAGAGGCCGATGATTCCTTGGGATATCTTGTCCCACCGAGACATCGGACTGCTCTTCTACTCCGAGATCACCTCCGGGATGGCTATGCATGCAGTGAGTTTTCCTTCCATCCCTTTTCTAATAAGCATCTCTGATCCGAAAACAGGTTCTATACTACTGCAACATCTATTTCATCGCCGTGAAGGATTACACTGCAGACAAGGCGGGAGTGCAACTTCTATACTTCACGCCAGGAATTGCTGGTGAGTCTCCCATATTCAACGGCAAAGGAACAACACTAACAAAACGCAGTCGGAATCCTTCTGTGCTCCATGATCTGCTCTTCTTGGCCCAGAATGACCTGGCCTGCAATTTTCCTCGGGACCCTTGTGGAAGCTGTGGGCATTGGCATGATGGCCTATGCGTTGTACACCGAGTCCTCACCCACCATTTTTGGCATGATGGCGCTTGTTGGTGCAGGAGGGGGGCTGCGGATGATGGCTTCTCCATTACACGGCGTCGGAATCTTCAGACAAAGCAGAGCAGCGGTTATTGGCCTGTTGACATTTGCCACTCCCCTAGGAGGGACCATCGGACTGACAATCATGTCGACTGTGTTCAACAACGTCTCCAATTTGGAAACCGACGGCGACTTCTCAGCTATCCGGAATATGGACCCGGTACCCCAGCAAGCAGCTAAGCATTCAGCCAAGGTAGGTTTGTACTGCATCGAACCTTGGAAGGCTATTTGACTAACTTGGATCCGCTAGATGGGGGTAGTATGGGCGTTTGTTGCTCTCGCACCATTGATGGTTCTTGTAAGCCTATGTCCTCTTTAACATAGCAAGATAATTACTAACAGCGCATGTTTCAGGCCTTCCTCTGCTCCATCCTTCTCGGAAATGTCACGGTTGCTGGAAAGAGTAACACTGGCACGGACGAGGACCAGCACATCGTGATGGAAGAAATATATCTTCTCTCACTCCTCCGTGGGCGGTTCAACCGGAACCCCTACAAGAGCGCAGTGAGAATAGACAGCTCCGATCGAGGAGCTGACGTCGAACAAATCCCAATGACGTCTCGGAAATAAATATTCGATTTTTTAACCACGAGTGGCGGACTAGCCACTACTATTGTTTACATATACCCAGTACAATGCTTCCATGTAACGGGGCATTCTACTACAGAGAGCGAGACTTTGACGTTGAAAGGCGTAGAATTAGTGTTACACTTCAACAATCACAGATAGAACTGAAAGAAGCATGGATATACCAACCTAGTTTTCTATCCCATCTTGGTTTCGCCTTGATTCTCAAGAAAGAGCCCACCAACACATTCGTCCGGTGTCTATTACAAATTTTTTGAGCTTTGCTGAGGATGTTTGCTAGTCATAGATGACTTGCAGAAGCATGGCTACTGTGTTCAGGAAACCAGGGGGGCAATCGAGCAGTCACCAAAGTACCGACTTTCTCCAATGCAACAGGGCATCGACAGATGGCCAAAGACAGAAGGCAACCCTCAGAATCCAGTGCTTACTCTCGCGAGACAGCATTCGTAGACTTCCAATTTCGCAAGTAAAAGGGGCCATTGAGTGACAGAGCACAATGTTCTCTTTAATACGGTCTATTCTACCACTAATTTGGTGTCATGTTATTCTCTCTAGGAATTAGACAACAGGTCTATTCAGGAGCTGTACTGAGCGCGAAATTAAGCACCCATGCAATAAAAGATCGAGTTCGTGGAGGGGATATATACATAGAGCCACGCTCTGTGGCTGTGTATTAGAAATCGTAACAGAAAACACGCAGAACCTCAAAAAATCGACAAAAACCCTCCCAACGCCGAAATAGCATATGCTTTCCTACACCCGATCGGTCCATACTTGTCATAGTCTCCGCCATTCAGGAGGTTCTTAAGATGGCCCCAAGCCTAAAGAAGAATGTGCTTATTCCATAGTTTCTAAGCCAATTCGTGCATAGGTCCGCGGTGTGTCTGGGCCGGATTTGCAGGCGCTTCATGAATGGTAGGGGGGGGCTGGGCATAGCCGGGTTGTTGGAAGTTTGACGGGCTAGGGCTGGTTCCTGAAACAGCGGAGCGAGGATCGCCAGGCGACAGAGTTGGAGACGTTGACGATGGTGGCTGTCCGTAGCCTGGGTTATAACCACCCCCATTTTGAGGGTACTGGCCTGTTGCAGCGTAATTTGGCTGACCACCGCTGGCGACAAACTTGGGGTCGTAGAAGCCGGAATTGGGGTTGTAAGGTTGGCCTTGAGGTGGAATCTGCGAGACGGGTGGGTAGGCGCCGTTGTCATTGCCTGAGGGGGGAGGATATTGAGGAGGACCACCGTAAGCTCCAGCTGGGGCAGCGGCGGCAGCAGCAGGCTTTTCGGCGTTGGACCTCTTCTTACGGAGAATGAGCCAGACGATTATTCCAATAATTCCAATGGCAGCTACGCCACCCACGACACCGCCAACAATGGCCCCGATGGGAGCTCCACCACCATTCTTGCTGCTGCCGCCGTTGCTGCTGTCACTCGTTGAAGAGCTCGAAGCTGATGAAGAAGTTGAGCTCGAGGTTGAGGACGACGAGGACGAAGACGAAGACGATGAGGATGCCGAGCTTGAGCTTTCTTCGAAAAGGACTGTCGTTTTATAGACCCTATTTGGGCCGCCAGAGTAGGTTGTGAATGCTGCCTGGGCAGTCGCAATTGCTACGTTATTGCACCAATAATCAACAATATCACCGTCGAACGAGATGGTGTTGCAGTAAGGTGTGGCTGAATTGATACTAAACGAGAGACAATCAGTACATCTGCCGTCCGCAAATTAAGGGATTCGAAACTCGGAGAAGCTGCCACATACCATTTCACGGTAAACGCATCAACCCTGCAAGCATCGTCGCAAGCACTGGAAGAGTAATAGGCCGCATAGTCGACACATCCCCTGCGAACGGTACAGGCCTTCGTGTTACAGCAACCAACATTACCAGTTGACGATCCAGCACCGGGAATGAGAGCGCAAGAGTAGTCGCTTCCGATACAGGTGTAGTGAGCACCCTGGAGAGCGGAGACGTAACCACAGGTGTTGTCGGAAGCAACGATGGCAGACAGACCATCATCCCGCGCAAAATTGAAGACCTGACCGGCAAGCGGAGCGGCGGTTGGCTTGGGGGAGACGCCGTCGCGTACTGGCAAGTCCAGAGCTCCTGTAGGCTCGGGGAGTCGCTCGATCAGACTGGCGCTGAGGGGCGCAACCATCGCCGCCAGGACGGCGGCGAGCCCAGAGGTCCTGATCATCGTGACGGCTAGGTGTATAAGTCGTCAAACAGCCCGAGGGTATGGTCTTAGGTGGCAATGATCGTGACTGGAAGCTCAACGACACAAACGGGGGACACCAGAAGAGGCAACCAGAGCACTTCAGATGCAAGAACGAAAGGTGCTGGCACCGACTGGATGAAAAGGTAGCGCATCAACCGCCAGGCAGGCGGCATGCCGCAGGACCCAGGGCCAGCCCCGGGTAGTCGGCCTCATGGCGTCGAGGTGACAAGCGACCTAGCGCACACGCAGGGGATCGTGGGACTCGCCGCCTGCTGCAGTCAGCGCCAGCTAGTCTCTGTCCAGGTCGAAGGAGATGATGGCGTCGAAGCAGATTGGCTGAATTGGCTTAGCAGGGGGAGGAGGGGGTGAGGGACTTGGTGCAGAAGACGTGGGGATCCATCCATCCTTTCGGTCCCCATTGTTTCGACTCCAAAGCTGAAAAGGAAAATCATACACAGGTGCTCCTCTGGCGAGTCTGGACTCAGCTGAACTGGACCGGGTCTCCTTGTGCTCCCGCTGGTGGAGGGGTAATGAGCGAACTAGCTGCTTTTTGCTGCGCCCACCCGATACTTTCGGCACTCGACCCTCACCCATTGTCCTTCTGCTTGACATGATTGCATATCGTATCGTTCTGATGGTGGCAGTCGGCCGGGGGAATATTGCTGTGGTGGTGAGATTTGAGAACCAGCACCGCCTAGCGCCCAGACTACGCGCCTGTAGGCAAAGATCCCCATTGGGCCATAAGGGTCAGTGGACCTAGAGGAAATTGCAGCGGGCTTGCTAGGGTTATTGCAGCCTAAGAAGCTGGAATCAGCGAGAGCCAAGGGCTGTCCCGTCTGTCCTCATGGCTGCTGCCTCCCTGTATGCTTTATTTTCTCCAAGAGCTGATGGAAGTCGATCAGACAGAGTCTAGCTCAGAGAGGGAGGTAGGTTGTGGAGGGTGGCGATCTCTTCCCTTGACGCCCTCCTGCCATCATTCAATACTCCATGGTTCATGGTTTATGGTTGATCACCGGTCAGAAAATAGATCCAAACCGGCGGCCGACCACAAGAAGAAGAGACGACGGGGGACCACGAGTCGAAACCGTCTGGGGTTTCGGCGCTTGAGTCTGTGAAGTGGAACAGCGCAGGGGTCGCTCTCAGCTACCGAAATACGAAATATGGGGCCCCTGACTCCGAAAACGCCTTGCGCATAGACTTTATTGGGTGCGTGGTAGTGCTACGCCCTATCGATATTCCCTGTCAGCCCTGTTGGATCGTCAACGAAACTAGACTCTGAGTTACAAAATAGAGGGCGAACCATTCGCAAACATTCAGACACCTTTGACACCTTTGCTGTTTCCGCTGGGGGTTTGCATTATATCTCTCACAGCGTCCCCCCTCCAGGTTGCACACGGGTCTGCTTGCTACATCGAAATAAGATAAACACAATGCACTACCCCTGGCTTTCCCACGGGCAGAAGCGGGGCGCCTCCTGCTGGACCAATGATTCGCACAGTTCCGGGTGATTACTAATGCAGCTGAAATCGAACAACCTAAAAATAGATACGCAGTACCTACAGTGTGTAACGACAGTGCCTGAGCGCGACCTGACCTTGGCTGTCAAACTGAAGTCACCACGCAACCCACAAACATACACAGTTGGTCTATTCAGTCCTACACTGGAAATCTCACGAAGGCTTCCTGACAAACCGGAGCTTTTTTTTTTTGCCTACCTATATAGTCTGTTGCTACAATCCGCAATATACGTTCACCTCATGCTTCCAAATACTGTCTTAGTCCGTTATTGACACTGTGCAGTAGCATCACGCTCCCTCGCCTAGAATCGTGACTGGCAACAGCTTCACCGAGTTGATGAACCCATCTCCGGCCAGACCATCATACAGATTGGCCAAAGCTGATATGCTACAAGTAAAACGCATGTCCATACCATCCAGGTTCATCTGTTCCTCATCGCTCCCACGCCACACGTCAACCTCGAGATGAAATTTGCCTCACCCCGGCTTCCTCTATCACTCGCTCCAGAGACCTCAGTAGTGCATTCCCAAGATCATAAAGTATCAGAGGCGTCTGAAAACTCCAAGTATCTCTTGATGACATGAGTGATATTCGCCAAGTTCTGCCTACTTTTCCCGTCTCCAAATATGCGAATCTTCTTCCAGCAATCGAGCAGCATGGTCTCACAACAACCGACCTCCTGACTCTACACCCAACAGATATAGCAAAGCAAACTCACCTACCTCTTGTGGATCTGAGACGCTTCATTGCCATCATACAAATCTCCCTCACAAATGACCTAAAGCCCCAGTCGTTGTCATTATTGCCAGAAAAAGAGGATTCGCCTGGGGAATCAAAAGAGGAAGCACCAGGGACCTCCAAAGCTCAACCTCTACTGACTACTACCAAGCCCCCGTGGTCGGCTTGTATCAGCACTCTAGATGATACCATAGATGCTGCCCTGGGGGGTGGAATCCCTACCGGCAGGATCTCCGAGTTTGTGGGGGAGAGCGGTGCTGGAAAGACTCAGTTCCTGCTGAGTCTTTGTCTAGCCGTCCAGTTGCCCTCCCCTCGAGGCATTGAGAAACAGGCTCTCTATATCTCGACCGAGTCCGGCCTTTCAACCTCCCGTCTCGCACAGATGTTGAAGAACCACCCGGTCCTACAAAATGTTGACTTCGCCGACAAACCCTCACTCGACAACATCCTCAGCACCTCCCTCCCGGACCTCGAATCCCAGGACCACATCCTACATTACCAACTACCCGTCCTCCTGGAGCGCCACAACATCGGTCTCATCATCCTCGACTCCGTGGCCGCCAACTACCGCGCCGAGTTCGAGCGCCAGGGCACAATGGGCCATAACATGGCCGCCCGCAGCTCCGACCTCGTCAAGCTAGGCGCCCTCTTCCGCCACCTCGCCCGCAAGCACGACCTCGCCGTCGTCGTCGCCAACCAGGTCTCCGACCGGTTCGCCTCCTCGGCCCCGCCCATATCGAGCCCGGCCCGCCTGCCCTCCTCGTGGCCCAGCCAGCTGCCGCCGACCCAAGAGACGCCGCTCGCCTCCAGGAGCAGCCTCCGCGGCCAGGCGCTACCCCATTACACCCCCAGCTCCCCGCTCCCCTTCTCCATGCCCCCCGACGACGACGGCGAGCCGCCCCCGCCGCCCGTCCTCATGCTCGACCACCAGCAGAGGTGGTTCACCGGCTGGGGCGACGACCCCATGTCCTCCCACGCCCTCAAGACCCCCAGCCTCGGCATCGTGTGGTGCACCCAGATCGCCTGCCGCATCGCCCTCTTCAAGCGGCCCGTCTACGGACGTACCAGGATGGCGCCCCCTATTTCCACCGCACCGGGTGATGACTACGACGAGGTCGAGGAGCCTACGTCGACTCTGAGGACGTGGAGGCGGTGGATAAAGGTCGTGTTCGCCCCTCATGCACCGGCGTCTGGGCCGGGGCTCCAGGACGCCATCGAGTTTGAGATCTCGGCGGGCGGGTTGAAGGCGTTACCGCCCAGGAAAAAGAAAACGAGGCCGTGAGTCCCGGTCTATGGTGTAAGGAGTATAACCTAGATGTGTATAGCAGTGCCTTCCTTTCATCAAGGGTTTATAATGAGCTTCACAGAAGGTCACCAAGCGATGGCGCTGAGTTTGGTTTCAATACATTATCAATTCACCGGTGTCTCATGTTTATTTTACAGTTCCAGTTGCATTATAATACGGACCTTCTCTATTTACTTTATATATTTCATTTAAACTTGTTTTGGATGCGGGAATTCATCCTCGAGTTGCAGACGCACGCCGACATTCATGCTGATCAGCTCTTGCACCAGCAGCTTAGCTGCATAAGGCATCGTCATCTTGGCCACTTCTCTCGTGCTCTTACACGTGTGGCAATATCCCTTGTACCCAAACAAGCCACACTGCTGGCAGATATCAATCTCCGTCCCATCGGAACTAATCATCAATCGCTCCAGGAGCAGCTGAGAGGCTCCGTATGCAATCAAACAATCACGCTCCATTTCTCCCAGACGCAGACCACCATCTCTTGAACGACCCTCAGTGGGCTGTCTGGTGAGGATCGCCATGGGGCCGTGGGCTCGCGAATGCATCTTGTCTTGAACCATGTGTTTCAATCGCTGATAGTAGATTGGCCCGTTGAAAATGTATGCCTCCAAGGGTTCTCCGGTGATGCCTGACGTGAAGTAGTCCTTGCCTTCCCAGGAGAAGCCATGATCCACCAGCACTTGACTCATTTCCTCCAGAGGATGTGAGCGGAACGCGTCTCCGAAACCGTAGTCAGGTCGACCGTGGACGATAGACGCCTTGCCTGTGAGGCACTCGAGCAGCTTACCGACTGTCATTCGAGAGGGGAAACCATGAGGGTTCATGATGATATCAGGCGTAACCCCACTATCAGCGAACGGCATGTCCTCCTGGTCGACGATGATACCAACAACACCCTTCTGACCGTGACGGGAAGAAAATTTATCACCTAATTCGGGTCGTCGAGTTTGCCTAGTCTGGACTTTAATCACCATTGAGTCCTTCTCAGTTCGAGACAACATGACTTTGTCAATGTAGGCTGGGTCCGGAATTCGGTAGGAAATTGAAGCGTCACGGAACATGTTAGACCCGCGATCAAGACCAATGCCCGTCGAAGTCTGATCTTCTGGGGTCTCCTTCTTCACCATGGCCTCTCCAGACTTGACCTGATAGCCGACCGTGGCCAGCCCGTCAGTATCGAGAATAGCATGCTTCTCTAGTGTGTAGTCAGGATCGCCCAGTCGGTCCTTTTTCCCGTTGGGGAGCTTTATCAGCTCTGTTGCATACTTGCGGAAGACTTGGCAACGGCCAAACCCTCTGTCGATGGATGCCTTATTAAGAACGAGGGCATCTTCAATATCGTATCCTGAATAAGACATGACGACAACGGTTGCGTTCTGACCGGCAGGCAGTTTATCATAGTGAACCAATTGGATCGTTTTAGAGATGACCATAGGTCGCTGTGGATAGACCAAGGTGTAGAGAAGGGTGTCGATTCTGTTAAATTGATTGTATGCGATAGCACCAATGGCTTGTTTACCCATAGCACATTGGTAGGTGTTTCGTGGGGATTGGTTGTGATGGGGGAAAGGGATCAGGCCTGCCACAGCACCCAGAATCGTGAACGGCTCAATTTCCAAATGAGTAGTGCTCTGTGTGATTTGGTCCTCGTAAATGGTGATTAGGGCATCGTTCTCTTCATTGACATCGAGATACTCCACCACACCCTTGCGCAGGAAGTCGTCGAATGTGGCCTTGCCCATCTGTAAGAGCCGCAGGTGTTCTGGCTTCAACTTCTGCTGTCCATTTTTTACAATAATGTATGGCCGGCAAATACGACCTTCGTCAGTGGCAATATGGACGGCATTAAAGTGCGTATTGATGTTGATGCTGACAAAAGGTGATATCCATCCTCTTCGGCGCATTGTTCGGAATTTGTGTGCAAACCTCTTCGGGTACCGTGTGAGGGCGAATGGTGTACCGTTGATGTGAATCATGAAGTTTCCTTCGCGGTGCATCTCGGCTCCAGAGAAGTTACGAATGGGTTCAACACCAGCATCCAACGTGAAAACCCATCTCTTGACAGGCTCCTCTTCCACATTAGTTGTAATATGGGTCATCAGAGCCAAGTTCTTGACCAGACCACAAGCTTCTCCTTCGGGTGTATCTGATGTACACAGCATTCCCCATTGCGAAGGCTGAAGAGCTCTTGGACCACTGACTTTTCGGGTTTTCTCGAACTGACTGCTGATTCTCGTCATCATTCCCAGGGCACTGATGTAACTTAGACGGCTCAGCACGTGGGTGACACCAGCCCGATTCATGTTGAAACGCTTCACAGTCCAGTTTCCTGTCTGGATAGCACGGTTTATGCCCATCCCAATGGTATTGGCGTGGTTGCTGACCATTTGCACAGCATCGAGGGCAACTCCGCGGTTGTGCTTCTTGAGGAATTTGTCAATGGACAGCTTAACTTCGCCCATGAACCGCTTAAAATTGTCTTCGAACAGAAGCGACAAAAGTTGGCCTGCCAACTCCAGTCGTTTGTTACCGACAAAGTCCCTGTCGTCGACAAGCTTGGTATTCTGAGAGGCCATGAGCACCTTTCGAGTCATCATCGCAAGATAAATAGCCTTGGGATAGAAATCGAGGCCTTCGATGGGTACGTGTGCAACGACCAGGTTGGACAGAGCATCAAGTCCATCTTCAATGTTGTTTCGGCGAGGCATAGGACCAAACTGGCCTCTTTTGGATCCCATCTTTACCCGCGCCCCAATATATTCCAAGGCTTGCTGCTGAGTGAAGACGCCAACGCGAGTAGCCTCGTCAAAGTTGATGACAAATTCATCTTGGTATCTACCATCAGAGCCTGCAACGAGCTGCATAATCTCGTAGTCGGACAGACCACCCATGGCTTTCAAGACAATGACGATGGGGATATTCTCGACGAGTACATTGTGTACAAGGGTGATCTTATCCTTCTTCAGTGTAACGCTCGTCTTTGATTTACGCTCGTGGGTTGAGCTGGTACACGAAGCTGTGATGATATTGTTCTTTTCGTCGGCCTCGACAATGACTCGGTTCTTCGACAGCTGTTCCTGGATCAGGATGACCTTCTCGGTGCCATTTATGATGAAATAGCCGCCCGGATCCAGCGGGCATTCGTTCATTGACTCCATCTGAGCATTGGTCGCACCACTGAGCCAGCATCTGGAGCTCTTCAGCATGACGGGCATGCGCCCAAGTGGGACATTTTTACGGGAGATCTTCTGCTTGTCTCGAATATAAACGATATCGACTTCGATTGGCGCAGCATATGTCATGTCGCGGAGGCGGCACTCCATTGGAGATACATTATGTCGTGTCTTAATATCTGCATGATCTTGTCGGCGAGGGCGTAGGACTCGAATGTCGCGGAATCTATAGGTATCGTCAGTAATCGCATGCTGGGTCTGAGCAGACTGATCCAACATACTCAAGCCAGAAGTTGCTGTCTACATCGCTTCGGATCGTCCGGTTTGCGCGTACAATCTCTTTTATTTCATGCTCAACGAAGAAGTTGTATGAGTCGATATGTCTCGGATACGGTCAGTTGCTTTCTGCGAGAAATGGGCGATGAGCTCGGACTCACTGCTTAACAAGACCTATGGCCATTTAGTTAGTCTTTCTCCGGTATCGCGCAGTGAACGGGGAAAAGGATTCTACCTTTGACTTTGAGGAACGCTGGTAATAGCTGGAACTTATCCTCCTTGGTAGAGATTGGGTCTGTAAGCTTCTTGCCGTTGTAGAATGGCTCTAGAAGAGCTTCAAACCCGTCATCCACGAACGGCATCTTGGAAGTCACCACTCCAGTTGCACGGGGTACTGGTGCAATATGGGGAGATGGATGGCTTGAAGCCGGCCGCGGAGGAGAAGATGGGCGATCTGCACGTCTGAAATGCGCAAGGTTGGAGAGCGAATGGATGGACGGCTCGTTGTCTGCTAGAAAAAAAAGTTCTGCCCCGCGGATAGAGTCATCGCTGCAGTAGGTGCCCTCCTACGGCAATTAGTGGGCCTCTCCCGGAAATGGTGCTGACATCAAAGGCGTTTCCAGGGAGCATATTGCTACCCTGCACCTTGGCCTTGCATCTTCGCAATTGATCAGGCATTCAAGGCATAATTTGACGTCGCAGTGGTGATACTCATAGGGGTTGTGGGGTGATAGCTTTGATGTATGCTCGTGCAATTTTCAGTCTCTCTCTGGTAGAATCTCACTTAAGGATGGATGAAGATTGTTGTATAAGCCTTGGCTTAGACGACGAAGATTAAGTCAATGCAACAGCAAAGCACATAATTCTTGAGACACCTCCGATTGATAGGCAAGGCGGTATCAGATCAGCGGGAATCCTGCTATCGCGACCCCAAGGGCGGCAAACCAATGGGCACGACACGGGCCACGGCCGGGAGGGTCTGTCTCGCATCTTGTTGCATTTACATTAAGTTGTATGACTTGCTGCAGAAGGCGAGGTTGGGGGCCACCGGCTTCTAGTGGTGCTACTTACATATGGCACTGTAGGTGGCCCCGCCGATTGATGCCTATTCCTAGAGCGGGTCTTCCCGTAAGGTCAGATCAGATAGAATCCAACATTCGGCGCTCGCTATGGCAACAGCTCCATTTTCTAGTCTCTAGAAGTGTCTGGGTCAGTCATCTCGGGCTTCTGCCTCACGCGGCGTTAGAGTCTGGGACGCCCTTCCTTCTGGAGATGTCGGGAAACAGATGTGGTCTACACTACCCGAGGTAGGTAGGCAGTCACATCTCGCCTCAGTCTCAGGAAGGGTGACTCGCAGTTGATTGCCGTGCTAGTGTTAGCTCCGAGGATGGCGGGTGGCTAGAGACGGCTGCTGGGGCACTTTGATGCACAATTTAGCCTCAACGTCGTTGCTATTGACGCACTACGATGTCGACGTCTATGCTGCTTGCCGAGCACCCCTCATGCACGATATGAGCATGAGGGTCAGGGTTTGTAGCCGATACCCGGTGCCTCGATTCCGCAGGTATTCCCATCGGGCCAAATCCTCCTCTAACTACGACTTGACATTAAGTACCCAGTCCGCGGCTAATACTACCTACCTATAAAATGGTTTGGAACCGAGACGGATCGGGGAAGGATGGAGAGGAATCACTACCCCTCGTCGCAGACTCGCGTTAGACCCAAAACCGGCGCCGACAGCGCTGCTAATGAGGAGGCGGGACGGCTGTCACAAGCGTCGGTCCACCATGTCCGCCAACTCATCTCCACCAACTACCTCCTCCCAAAAGTCGGTGAGTGGTAGTTAGGAGGGGGATCGAGGACTTTAATAATGGTCGCAGTAGGCAAGAAAAAACAAGTCACTGTTGAGTGGACAGCGGGGTTTGTTGCCCTTCTGATGGGGAGCAGGTTTCTTGCAGGTACCTAATATTAGTACTGCACTATGTAATACCCAGATCAGATTTAAAGGGACCAACCAACCACGTCCGTGACTACGACCACGACTACCGCCTACTCCATTGAGTAGGACCCTGAAAAGCAGCTCAGGCATGAGGACCTGTCTCTCCAGCCTGCCTGCAGGCAAGCTTGAGCCCCTCCGAGCAGAGGTTATCTTGGTCAAGGTAAATCGTCAATAATAATGGGCTCAAACATGGATCACTGTAACCTAATAAACTGCTGCCTTCTGCTCCGTAGTCTCCCCGATTCTTGTAATACGTGCAGCCCACCATTACAAATTGCCCGACCTACGCCTCTGTACACATGTACCGTCTATGTATTATGCCCTTCCGTATTCAAGCAATGCCCAATATTAAGCGCTGCCTCCAGTGGCTGGGCGCCCCCAGCGAATGGCCGACGACAGACCACCTCCAAATCCCCAGTTTTCTCCAGTCTTCGACGTAGCATCTGTTGATTTGAGAGGCAGTATCGACTTTCCCCACTGAATTGATTCATTTCGCCCTGTTGCAGAAGGTACTTGGCGGCGCCAGTTCCCCCCTCTTGATCATCCCGGCCTAGATGTCTCATCAGGGCTTGGCTCCTCGCAATCCCTTGGCTTTGCCCAGATTTGTCAAGTACATAACCTGGACAGGGCATGCTGGCCTGGATACAATGTAGCGCATCGCATATCTGTGAGGGAGACAGCGTAACTGCCCTATCATAGTTGGGTGACAAAATCCAAACTTGACACATAGAAATACATTCTCTTCTTAATTAGGTATTTGTCGAATACTCCGGACCTAACATGGCTCTATTTGGCCGTACCTATCCGAAGCCTTCCTCAGAATGGGCTCCATGAGGAATTAGTGCCCAGCGCTTGAAAACCGTCTTTTTAGAGCCTCGACGATTGGCGAGTATTACAAATGACCCTACAGGGAAGAATCTAGCACTATTTTGATCATCTTTGGAAATCGTGGTATCATCGCCTCATCAACTTTTTTTCTTACCGTATGTACCATCGCATAAACATGATGATGATGATGATGATGATGATGATGATGAGTATGTTGTTACCAAGTACTACCCATGCCACCAGCTTTCAGCTCACCGAGAGTTGACAAAAACGCCAAAAAGAGCGGACGAGAGGTGTAATTGGCTGACCCGTAATGTAATACAAGCAAGGCCTGTCGACAGCTACTACCTACCTCTGCGCCCTACCTGGCAACTACTCATTGGTAGTGCTCCTTTGGCCAATTCTGCTTGGACCGTTTTCGTGACATTATGTTTGGAACCTTGGGTAAGGTAGACAGATGACGATCGGTTAGCAGCAAGCCAGCCAACCTACACCTTGGACAGCGAATCGTGTAGGCATGGAATGCGCATGTAAAAAGCAGGACAGGAGGCAGGCTATCGTCGGGCGCGAGTATTCGTATTCCATGTAGTAGCCACCCTCTCAAGCCCGAAAGTGGCAGCACTGCCCTACTAATGTAGGAAGTAAATTAGTATGTATAATGCTAAATGGATCACATTACCTTAACTTACCTCTAGTTGCTACGAGCTAGGGCGGTTTGGCTTTCTCCGCCACAGAAAGTAATTCTACTATTCCGTTGACTTCTGGAAGACAAGGGCAATGTACTTGATTTTCTTCTTGTCACCCCATCCTCCATTCTTTCTTCAATCCTTTTCTCTCTTAAACGACGCCGACAGGCATCGCCCAGCTTGACCTGGTCCACGTCAGTTGGCTGGAGTTTTCATTTGTTGAATACTGCTCTTTATTCATCAAGGTCTCGGCTGGCTCAAGACCCGCCGAACTTACTAGGTCGAGATCGCACCGCGCCCATCGTCGCCGGATCTTTGCCTTCCGTGTACGATTAGTTACAAAACACGAGATATCGGGGACCCTGAAAATTGTGATTCTCGGATTCAATAGGTCAGATACTGCTTGGGTAAGTGGGATTTTTTTCCCCCAGGTTTTTGCGCAATACTCCCCCAGTGTTCTTTATGATGCCAGTTCTATAGCCTGCCTGAGCGGTCACTTGTATCATTAAGGACTCGGCTCAACATTTTCATCCCACAACTGCTTTGCCTCTCGCACAACATTCCCAAGCCCTAGATCCTCTCTTTGTGTGTCGCCGGACTCTGCTTCACGCGAGATGATGGCATAGCTGCACTGCTGCAGCTCTGATTTGTGCGGGGGTGTTCTCCTCACCTCTGCCCGCGACGTATGTACATACATCCAGGTCCAACGAGCAGGGGTGACAGGCATGGATTCAGCAGCTGCACGGCACGTCTCCATCCAGCAAGAGTCCCTCTGCCGCTGGTCCATCGGCAGCCGAAACCCAATGAGTAAATGGGTGAATGTGCACAATGCGACCAAGAGGGTTTGACAAGTAGCGCCGCAGCCGGTGGTCTACTCAACGGGCAGCCTGCTGAGCAGCAAGCCCTGGGGTTTGGTTGGCGCTGTCGAGTGCTGCGCTGGCGCTAACTCAGCCAAAACGAGCCCCCCAGGGCCTCAGGTCCGCTGTCGTCACCCATAGTCACAAGCCATCCACCCACTGCCAGGCATCAATCGGCACCGTCCTGACCCCTGGATTGATGGATGGCTCCCACCCCACCACCCCCCCTGACACTGTCTACCTGCAACATCCATCTTTCTTTCTTCCCAGACCCATTCCAGGCCAGTCCAGGTTGGGTCCGCAAGACCAGACCCAAGACAAGAGAAACCCACAGGCGCTGTACCGCACCCCGCCTCCTGGAATATCGTCGTCTACGCCTGTCGTTGCCCTCTTCGAGCTTGTCTTTCCTTTGCTTCCTTTGCGTGTTTCCTGACAGTCGCTCACTCTACCCTCGCCGTCCCCTTTACAGGGTGATTGCTGCTGACCACGGTGCTGGATCTCCCATATAGAGTCCATGCAGTCAGCCTTTTCGCAGAAGAATCCTTTTCCGAGCAAAATTACGCTTTCGTCGCCTCACTAGGCGTGTACGATTGGCTTCCGACTTCCCTTTGCGATCATAACCGCCATCATGGACGAGTTGCGCTTCCGATCGCAACACTCTCCCCGTAACGAGAACCCCGTTGCCTCCTTTGTTTCTCCCAATCGCAATGGGTCCCGAGCCCTCCAGCAGCAGGGCCAGCCGGCTTCCCTCGATACGCGATCCGTCCTTCCTCGACGCTTCACTACCGATTCGAGCCGTGTACCAACATTGTCTTCAATGTCCATAACTTCTCCGCAACGCGGACCCGACCATGCTCAAGATTATAACGTAGGTGGCGCCCTGGATGGTGTGGCGGATGTGATCTGCCGCTCTCGCCTTTAAATCCTTGGCAAACGAGTTTCTCTGGTGTAACATCTGCTAACTTTTGGCTGGACAGGCGTTACACAGAGTT